CGAAGCGAAATTCGGTGGGAAAATAGTGAACTTTAGCCGGAAGGTGAAAATACATTTCTTTTCTGTACATTTAGAATTAATGAATCCTATAGACCTGTGGAAACTGCTTGTAAACATCTGATTTTTCCATTAAAATATGATTAAAATAAATGGCACAGAGAAGCTTTAGTTATTTTTACAACAGAACCCCTCCCCCCCCCGCAGTAGAATATTTATTCCGTATATTTTTAAGAGGGCTTGGGGGGCATTAAATTATGCTTTGATTGTATTCCATCAATGAAAATATAAGACACAAACATCTTATTTCTTATAAGAAACAAATAAGTACTTATTAACTGTGTTTGCATTCATGGGACACACAAATGGTCTCAGGCTGAGCTTATCTAGTAAAGAAAATTAAAATTAGTGTTTTGACTTCTATTCATTGTAAAGTAGATACCAGCCTAAAGATTCCTAATCAGTTGCAAAATACCTATCATGAAGGAATATGCAATGCAGAATGAAATCGCTGTCCTCAAGAGAAAGTTCTGAGAATTATTTTAATCTACATAAGGGCAAATTTGCCTCCCATCACATTTTGTAGTAAAATCCAAAGTTTCATTTTGGCCTTCCAGCCCCAAGTTTAAGTTCCCAAAATGAAGAGTTGGCATGATGGTTATTCAAAGAAAATTAGAAAAGAAAAGGAGAAGTGTGAGTTAAGCACGAAGTCAAATGCAATCAACGTTGTAAAAATCGAAAACCCAGTGATCTGCTGTGATGTGGGATCAGAGTCATGGGGTGCCTGCTGTTCCTCGGTGCGGTTGGTGTAGGATTTAGACATCACCATCAAGAGGTGAGAATTTGGGAAGACATTTCAAGGATGACGGAAGCTCTGAGTGAGTGAACAGATACTCTTCGCACAGAATAATCCCCCGTGGCACTGGTTTGCCGGCAGAGCAGAATGTTTGGGACCTCACCCAGCAGCCACGCGCGGACATAAATCGTTCTCAGCACGAGAAACACAAAGGCCGCAGGATCCCGCAGGAGCTGCAGCGGGTGGGGGTCATTTTTGGACGCTGCCACCCTCAGGAGTTCCAGTCCTTCAGGCGAAAGGGGCAGATCAGGCCTTCGGGGAGGACCCTTGCCTGGGAGAGGGAGGGCAGTGCCCCGGGGGCCGCCTCCAGTGCGGAAACAAAGAGGACGGTCTTCGGAGCGTCCGCCCTCCACGCCTTGCCGCGCAAGGACCCCGCGCTCTGGGCCACTTCCTCTTGCAAACCACGAGGAAAAGGCAGTTTCCACCCAGACGGCCGGCTGCGGGCGAAGGGAATAAAGCGCTGCTGCCGCCGCGCTCTGCACTTGGCTCTGGGCCTGGCGGGGGTCTGGCGCGGCCGCGGATACCTGGGTGACCTCGGCCGTGGTTGCCGGCTCTGCTCCGACAACGAGTCTTTTTATTTGTCGCCTCCCCCTTCTCACCACCGAGGCCGCAGGAGAGGCTCGCTGCCGGGGGCCGAGTTCGGTGGACAAGGGGGCAGCGCCCACAGCGAGCCGGCAGGAGGGAGGCGCGGGGCCGCGCTTGGGGCCTGCCGCTGCGCGCCAGCCTGGGCAAGAGCCGCCACCTTCTGCGGGCGAAGCGGGTCAGGACGCAGGACGGCAGTGGGGCTGGAGGCGGCTACTTGGGTCCACACCCCCATGCCCTGCAAGGCTCCTGGGCCCTGCTTCTCCTCTGCCTCGCCGGGAGAGGAGCAGCCTCGGTTTTACAGAATTTCAAGGCAGCGTCTCCAGCGCCCCGGGCGAGGCCACGACATTTAGGAGCGCTCGCCTTCGCTGCGCTGTGTACCGTGTACACACTGGCTCCGTGCGCGAGACCCCGATGTGGGTTAAAACTCCACTTCACAACCCCCATTGATACGGGTTTGACATCTGTTTGCCAGAGTGTTTTGCACTTAGCCTAACACCCGCTATTAAGTGACAAAATTGTGGCAGCCTGTCAAAGCCAGCTGACTGGCAGCTGCTCCGCTTACAAAAACCATTCAAATATTTGCAGGTTTTGAAGGTTTGTGCAGTGTTGTACCCAATCTTTCAGCGACTTAACATGTAAAATATAAGTCAAAGTTTTAAATCTGGATTCCAAAATGTTTCCATTTTCCATACAAAAGGAGAAAGCTTTCAGGGAACCTGCTGGAATGGGTCCAATTCCAACGTGTCTCCGCGTTTCCCGCCACGAAATTCCTGCACAAACCCGGTTTTTTAAAGATGTCAAGGACCAACTTCCTCTTGTTACCCACATCTTGGAGGACTGAACTAAATTGACTTAAACTCCAAGGGAATACACTTTCTCAAAAGTAAATTTTTTAAAAATCCCCAAGTAAAGAAACGTACCTGTTTAATTTTGCTTTTGACACTTAGACCAACGTCCCTTAGGGGAAAAGCGAGGTTGTTAGGAAGAATATTCCTAGTCAACATCTGAGCTCTGGCGGCTTCCAAAACACTCACTCCTCCACTCGCACTTCTAAATAGCTTAGTCCGATTAAGAAATAATTTGCAAATGACATAGTGTTTCTCTAGATTAAGATCCATCGAGTGAAGTCATGTGGGGTTTTTGTCTCTGAGATTAGAGCCAGACAGACAAGGATCTCCTGCAAACTGCAGCTGCCGACAATGAAAAAAAAAATTACCCTGCGTTTGTCCGGGGGAGATGTGTGCGTGGGTCCGCGCGCCCCGCACCGACACTGAGGGCTGGCACACCCTTACTGTCTTCAACTGTGCTGGACTTGTGTGTCTTTTTTTTTTCTTTTTCTTTTTTTATGTTGGTAAACATATTTCCTTGGGTGGGAGGGGGTCACAAATCCTCTGGGCAAACGTGGGGTTGTCATTTTAAAAAAAGCAATGAGTTTGCTTGTGATACATTTGCAAGGAGTCGCGAGGGTGGTGGTCTTGAGTCCGAAGTGCTGACAGCTTCACTCAACTGTGGGGAGGAGGCAGAGAGGAAGGGTGGAGACAAGAGACCCAGACCCCGAGAAACAAGTGGGGCTGCAGCCCAGGCGCCTCACAGAACACATTTTCTCCTCCGCCTTCGACTCCGCGTGGGCTAGCCCCGCGCTAGGAAAGGCAGGCAACTCGGTCCTCCGAGGCGAGGCTGGGGCTCTGCCTGCAGAGGGAGTGACAGTGCGCCGCGAGGGTCCGCGCCCCAGGCGGGGGTGGCCGCACCACACCAGAGCCCCGCACAGCCCCGCGGGCCTCCCCTCCCACAGTGCGCGCCTGGAACGCGGGCCTGCCTGGCTGAGGGCCGTTTACCTGGAGAGCTTTGTGTCCAAACACTAATCCTTAGACACTGCTTCGTTCAGCAGCTGCCGTTAGTCGTGAGGGCACTAGTATGGGGATGGGGGAGAATTCAGGATCCCGTCGCAGAGTAATATTTTAAAAAGGGGGGGGAAAGAAAAGAAAGCCCAAACTGCTCCCCAGGGGAGGCCTGGCGCGGCGGCCACTGACACGGCGTCCCCGCTGCGAGCCAACAAAGCTGAGGCGCTCCGCCGGAGGACAGAGCCCAGCGCGGGGACCGGCGCGGGTGGGAGTGGGGGCGCGGCGCGGAAAACCTCTTGGAAGGTCCGGGTGGACACGGGACGGGAGGGGGGGTGACATACTCCCACCCAAGGGTTAGAAAAGGCGCGGGTAGTAGTTCCAGGCGAAAATAGGCAGCCCTCTGTGATGACAGAATTGACAACTATTTTGGGGGGGAGGCGGGGGTTGGACTCCGAGTCCCTCGGGACGGAGGCGCAGGGGAGCAGGAGGGGCGCCCAGTCCCTGCAGTTGCCTGGGCCGGAATCCCGCAAGCCAGGCCGGAACGCGGGGGCGGGGGCGCCGGCGCGGGAGGGGGGCCCGCGGCGGGAGGCGAGAGCGAGCGAATGGGGAGAGAAGCGAGGAGCAGGAGGGGACGCAGGGGAGAGGGGACTGGGGAGCGGCGAGAGGAGGACGGGAGACGCGGCTCCACCTCCCAGCTCAAAACGGCGTCCCAGCTGCTCGCAAACCAACTGCTCGATTCTATTCACTGTCGAGTAGGAACAAAAAAGTGGCTATTTATTAGAATACTTGTTTGGTATTGTTCCGCGCCACACAAAAGGCGTTTCATTATGTGGAGGGATCTCCTTTTTCCAGAGAGAAACAATAACTTGAAATTGTCTTTAAAGTCTTTTCTATCAATAATAAATTTCATTTTCTTGTCTCTCTCGCCTGCAGTGTGTGTGCGCGCGCGCGAGGCGAGGAGAGAGGCGCGTGTGCGAGTGAGTGTGCTAGCGGGGGTGCGCGTGTGAGTGTGCGCGTGTGTGTGCGTGCGCGTGGCACCGGCGCCCGCGGCTACGGGGCTGGCGCTGCCGGAGCCGGGCCGGACCAGGGTCCGAGATCTACGGCGCTCTGGGCACGCTGGCCACCCGGTTCGGAATGAGTCGGGCTCCGGGAGGTGCCCGTGGGCAGAGCGTTAGGGGCGCGGCCGCGCCGGACCCGCCCTGGGGACCCGCTGGAGCTGGAGGAGGAACTAACTGTAAGTGTGTCTCGAACTTGCGCGGGGGCTTCAACCCGCCCGGGGCTGGGGAGCCGGGCGGTAAAGGCTCTCGGGAGAGGGGCGCGGTGACTCCACGGTGACTTTCCATGAAGGAGGATGGGGTGTCTCCGCAGCTTTGGGGCCCCGGGAAAGAACAGGTGGGTAGATGTTGTGGCCACGGCTAGCGGACTCGCCGCGGGGCACATTTGTCATTTTCTTATCTGTGCGTTCACTCCTCCCCCGATCCTCGGCTTTTTGGATTGGCCGCCGCCCAATGGACCCAGACTGTTTCTCTCTAAGTCGCCATTTTTGGGGAGGGGGGAGGGAGATCGAGCCTGTGGATTTGGGGGAGAGGTTCGCGTCCGCCACAGCTCCGCGCCCCCTCCCCGCCCCTCGCGGCTCCCCCACCCTCGCGTTCGGCAGCACCAGGCTGTGCTCTCCGCGGTGCACACCCGGCCGCGCCGAGAACTAAATCCGCGGGCTGAAATTACGTTTTAAAAATTAACATGTTGAAGCGTGTGCCATTTAGTGAGAGGTGTTTTGGGCAAGGAATCAATTTAACTGTGACTGACCGACGGGCTTGACTGTATTAATTCTGCTACTGAAAAGAAAAAAATCAATGAGCCTCAAGCCTTGGACTCGCAGAACTGCCGGTGCCTTTCCGGGAGCCCCACCAGCGCGGCCCACGCCTCAGTCCCGTCGCCCTAAGGTGGGATCCTAGCGCCCAAGGGAGGGCGCCCCAAGGCCTTCCTAGGAGGATTGAACCCCGCGCGGGCGCACAGTTCCGTGCGCGCGTCCTCCCTCCTCCAGCGAAATCGTACCCGCTTTGCCTCCTCTTGCAGCACCGCGCGTGCCTAGGCTCTCGGTGCGCGCAGCCGGGAGTCTCCCCAACCAGTGCCGCAGAGCCGCCCGCTTCCGACCCCTCGTTCCACGGGTTTGAGCCTCCTGTGGAGAGGAAAGGTCAAGAAGTTTCAAAGGTGAAATGGATTTTCGGCGGGGGCTGGTGCTGGAGTCAATGGGCAGGGCGAGGCAGGCCTGGCAGTCATTGACCGGAGCAGGGACCCGGCTGGCCGCCTCCCCTTGCAGGAAACAGGTGTTTGAACGCGATAGCGGCCGCCAGTCAACTAACGCATTAAACGCTCGCTTTATAACATCGATTTCCTGGAGTGTGGTGGGGCCTGCGTTCTGGAAGCTCCTTTGTGAAAGGCGGGGTTTGGGGGAATTGCCCTGATGGTACCCCAGTTGGCGCAGAAGGTCCCCAAAAGCCCCTGTCACCGCAGCATCGGACAACGGGGCTGCCCAGGCGGCTGGAAGGGCAGCTTTTCCCTCCCGCTGGGGTGGAAAGAGGAGCCCTGCTCTGTTCCCCACCCAGGACAATGGTCTTGTTACCCCGGCCTCCTCCCCTGCACTTAGGGCCTGGCATGCAGAGAATGCCCACAGCAGAGGGGGAGGCCTCCAACACCTGGCAGGTGTCCCCCGACGAGCTCCGTGTGGTTTGGAAGGGTGGTTAAACCGGATCCGGGAGGAAAGCAATTCCATCCCTACCCACATCCCCTGGGCCCTACCAGGCTTCCTCCCTGGCTAGCGCCTCTCCTCGATGGGAGGCAGGCCAGGTGGCAGGGCTGGAGCAGGCAGGCATACAGGAGATGTCATGCGTACCTGTGAGGATGAACAGAGAGCCTTCAGATGGCCTAGTGCTAGGATCTTGTTATCACTGTCATGAGAGCAGATGGAGCCGTGCGGGGAGGCTGCCACGAAGGCAGAGGGAAAGGGGTTGGGATGGAAGGGAGGAGGCTGGCACCTGGGCGCCTGGACTTGCTGGTCCTAGTCTCCCTCCCCGCAAGGAAGAGGAGGCCCCGGGAACCTTGCCCTGGCTGTGCTGGGTCTGAGGGAAGAGGCTCCAAGTGGCAGATCTTCCTGTGCCTACCTGCCTGATGGCAGAGGATACACCACCTGAGAAGGCAGGCTGTAACCAGCCTCTACTCCAGAAGCAAATCCGCCTGTGTGTTCTGAGCTTTGAGCATAATTGTAAATAGCTGAAAATAATGAAAATGCATAGAACCCCTACTCTGAAACCCACGAACTCCTCCCCTCCTGCCTGATGGGGTCCTTTGTCTGGTGGGGCTCCTCCACTCCCCAGAGCCATGGGAGATGATACAGGAGGAGTCAGTTCATAAAGGGACAGGTGGCCCCTGGGGAGCCAGAGTGGCGTGTTCTGCTGGCAAGAAGAGGTGCAAATATCCCTTTAGCTGGTTTAGCAGAAAACTCACCTATGTTTGCCCACTTTTTCTCACTGCCCCTAAGTTGAGATTTAGGGTCAAACACCATCCAAAACAGGGTTCTTTCTCTGCCTGATCTGCCAAACCTCCCTCTCTCATTTAGGTGGCACTCTCTCCCCAAAGCTAGTGTCCCATCCTGTGGGGTATCTGACCCTTTCAGGGTCAGCACAGGCCATTCCCGTTCCCCCTGTCCGAAGGATGCGGCCCTGTATCATACAAATGTGCTTTCCAAAGAGGCCCTGTACCCAGGTAATCACAGGCCTTCACCCAACCTGAGGGAAATCTGATTTCTGCTCACAGGACAGCTGGTTTCTGCCTCCTCGAGGTAAGATAAATAGCATTCAAATGGGGCCAAGAGGCCCTCTATTAGCTCAGCGTGCAGGGCACTGGTGCTGCATTAAAGCCCCATCCCACAGCCTGAAGATTTAAACAGAACCACTTTCCCCATTTGCTGTTTTCTGAAGTAAGCAACCCATGCGACTGAAAGGGCTTGAAATTGTGTCAAAGTGATGTTTTAATCTCATTGAAAAGTGTATTAAAGGACAAGATGTAATTTATGTGAGATGCTTCGATGAAAGCAGAGATTGGAGTGGATGGTCCTTTCACTCGTGTGAACCTCGTGTCATGTTTATATTGAAGCCTGTGTAGCTAATCTAATTTGCAATAACAGGGATGGCCTATAAGAAAAAGCATCTCTGATTTCACTTTATTTCTTTTCATATAGAAATTCCCTATGACTTGTCTCCTCTTGTGACTGATGCCTTTTCCATTTGAGGGCTAATGAGAGAGGATGGAGGAAGGGCCTGTTGACTCGTAGCTGCTGCACTGGCTTGCAAGTGGCTCCTGGTCACTGGCTCACTGAGACTAAGCTGGTCGTGGCACTGGCCTGAAACGCTGTTTTTGATCCTGCGGAGTGAACACTACAGCAGCCCTAGAATGTCAAATCCCACCTGCTCCTCCACACTCTGGGCAGCAGGGGTGAGGGTGTCTGTTACAGGCCAGACCGGTTTGTTTCTCCGCAGAATTTCGGCTTTCCTGGTTTAATCAGATGTCCTGCACTCTTGGACGTTTATAATTGGCAGTTTTTAATGGGAGTGGTTATGAAGCTGTCTCAGATTCAGAAAAGTCTGATCTTGTACCGGCTCTTTACACTATTACAGAAACAAAACACACCTAGTGCTCAGAGAAGGCGCTTCGTGTGTTCAGGATGGCATCGAACACAAGCATTCTCCGTCAATAAAAAACAACATGCGTTAGAAAATTACAACTTTTGTACAATGTAAAAAGGTGTATTCAAACTGTTAATTACGGGGGTTTGTGTAAATGAAACTTTAGCAGTGACCCATTTAATTTTCCCGTAATTACTGACAAAATAAGACAAGGCTGAATCACAATACGGTATGTTTATCTTGAAGGAGAATATTGCGCTGACGTGGTTAAACCAAAGAGTAAGAGCAAAAATTTAAAAGGGAGGTGCGTAAGTATAAAAAGTGCACAAAAATCACACCCTGAAACCATCTGGGTTTAAACCGCGGAAGACGCGGCTTAGGCGGCTTCTCTAAAGAACCCGACCAAATTTGAAAGGCGCAGGCATTTTTTCCTCAAAATCCGAGGCTCAAGAACCATCTCCTCTGGCAGGGTCCAGTCTCAGCTCCGCCTCTTGCCTCTTCACCCACTTGGGCATAACTTTTGCGGGTCCTAGAAATCTGGGCAGCAGAAGAGGGAGGGGAACGCTCCAAGCCAGCAGCCGCACTGGGCGTGCACCTGCCACGCGAAGCCAGAGGTTGGACGACGCCGCCGGCCAGGCGCGGCTCCCGGGGGACCCCGAAACCGCCTGTGGCTCAGGCCTTACTTGGCAGGACGAGATGGGGGCGTGAGAGGAGGGGTCACTGTTGCTCCCTCGCACAATAGACTTCCCGCAGGCGAGTGCGAACGGCCTTTTGCTTCCTCCTTCTTTTCCAGGACCCTTAGTGGCAGGAGGGGAAGGGAAGCGGCCCCAAGGTTTAAATTGCCTGTTTCCTGATACAGCCACAGGCCCAGCAGCGGCTCAGCCTAGGCCACCGGGTCCAGGCCTCTGGGCAATAGGCCCGGCGCCCCCTCGAAGCACCCTTTCCCGCCGACCCCGCAATCTTCACTGTGAGAGTGAGGGCAGCCTGTGGTGCCCAGAGGCGCCGGGCGCTCGGCGCACCCGCCGCGCCCACAGCGCTGGGGACCGACTAGGGCTGCCGTCAGCCAGGGGCGCTGTGCCCATTTGGGTGGCACTCTGACCTGGCGAGGGGTGGAAGCCCAGGTAGAGCTCGTGTCTTTAAGAGCCACCCGACAGAACTGCGCACTACATCTGCGCCAGCTGGGCTGGGTGGGAACAGCCCGTCCCGGGGCGTACAGGGCAGGTAGGTAAATACTCTGCGCCCGTTGGGTTGGGTGGGAAATACTCCCGTGCCGGGGCGTACAGGGCAGGTAGGCCCAGCCGAGAGTCTTCTCGGAAAGTTTCCCACAAAAGAAGGGCCAGGCAGGCCGAGCGGCAGGAAAAGCCGGTGCTCGGCGGCGAGGCCCGAGAGGCCTGGCACCCGGCGGCCTCCCAGCTTTGCTCGGGTCTCCCACCGCCTCTCTCCAGAGCCGCCCGTAGCTCCGTGGGGCGGAGGGCGCAATGCCCCGCTCTGGTTCCAGCCTTTTTCCTCCCCTTGTCTCCTCTTTCATTCATAAACCTGGTGGCTACAGACGCAGCTTGAATATTGACGTCTCTCCCCCAACTGCTCTGCCGTTAACCCAATTACAGAATTCATCAAGAACTGTGTTGAATTATCTCTTTCCATACAGTATCAGCATTAGCCTAATTAAAAGCTATAATGTCTGATATAATGATTAAATCGTTAGCTCTGCTGTAGGGAAGCAATATTTTGTTTTCCCTTCAATTAGAAGCTGATTGAGGTTTTCAGAGCAGGTCAGCTGTGAAATTTGAATTATATGTGTGAGTACTGCTCACAGGGTGAGCCCCTACTCCAAAGCTCCCAGAGCTTCTCCAAATGCTTTCACCCAGAGAGCTCGGAGGCACACAGTACGCGCCCGTGCGCACGCGCGCGCGCACACACACACACACACACAGACACGCAGTTGTTTGCTCTTCGATTGTAAACGTGCGACTCTCCACACGAATCGCCCGAAAGAAAGCCTGGGTCGCTTTTGAGGAGAAGGAGTTTCTTGACCCTTCCCCGCAAAAGCTACAGGAACAGCCTCCAAACCAGGACGCCTAGTCAGGCAAAGGAGAGAGCGGTGCGCCGGCACGCTGAGAGCGCATGGAGAGGTCTGCTCTGCTGCTATCCCTGATGGCTAGGGCTCTCTTTCCGTTCTCCTTCCACACACCCCTTTTCCCTGGGCTGTTATTATTATTTTTTTGCTTCCTTCAAAACCAAACCAAACCACCAACAACAAAAACTTCTGTGCTACTTTGGCTTCTCCGGCTTTGTTTGGGAACAGTGGAACCAAGTTAGCCCAGGCCAGGGCGCAGATGATGGACTCAGGGCGCCCAGGGACCCGAAAGAGAGCAGCACTCCTCAAGAGCCCCCTGGCCATCACCCGCGCGCCCTGGAGCGTCCTCACCCAAAAGCGCGCTCCAGGCCTTCAAACAAGGCCTCTGACTGCCAGAGCGGGTGAGGGGCGCAGAGGCAGCAGAGAGCAGAGGGACCCGGTGTCTCGGCGAGGGCGGCGGCGGCCAGCAGACGGCGATCGAGGCGCGCGCCACGGCACGGCCCGAGCAGAGCGCCGCGGGGTCTCAGGCCAGAGCCGCGCGGCCGGGCCCGATGCCTCTTCGCCCCCCCGCGGGAGGAAACCCGGCCTTCTCCGCCCGCCCTCTCGCTGCGGTGTCCCCAGCACCCCCGCCCCGCCCCCGCGCAGTCCCCACCGTCGCGCTCCCCTCCCTCCTCGCCCTCACTCCGCGCCTCCTGTTGGCAGAGATGGCCTCGAAGGCCTCTTCCAACTTGAATGGCTCTTTCTTCTCTCTCCCGCGCTTTCTTTGCCGCCTTCTCCTCCTCTCCTTCTGACTACTCTTTTCTCTTTCAAAAGCTCCGCCTGGAAACTGGCGGCTTCCTCTTCATCTGCCTCTTTTAACTGTGGCCTCGGCCCTCTGGGGCGACACCAGAGCGCGGAAGCCTGAGCCCCTCAGAGATCGGGGGAGGCACATACACGTGGCCTCAATCCTCCACCCGGCCCCAGAAGCCGCAGGAGCTGAACCCAGGAGGGCAACCAGTTGTCGAGCGGCCACGTGTCCCTGGAGGGTGTCAGCAGGACAGGTCGACTTCACCAGGACCACGAAAGACAGGGCACAGTTTCTGTCTTCTTTCACTGTCCTGCAGAACTCCTAGCTTGTCCATCGTGCTCCTTGCTTGGGACTCGGGACTGACACTGGGCACAGAAAATCCACGTCTGGATGCCTCAAAGCTCCCTTTCATGCTGGGGGGGGGGGGCAGGGAGGGGGGACAAAAGCTAAAAGTGCAAATTACTCGATAGAGACAGTTTAAGCTAATG